CCGTATTTATAATATAAACTATTGTTATTTTCGTAATTGATACCGATATATCGAGTGATGGCATACACTAACCAAAAGATAACGAATGTATTAATTGAGAATTAAGCGTTGAATTCTTTAATCTTTATCTGGAATCGGAAATCGCTTCGTCTTGAAGAATGAACAACGAATATCAATCCAACATTTCTTGCTTGAAGATGTGATACCGTGATAAAAGTGCAGATTTGAAGATACAGGCTCGTAAATGACACTCTAAGTCGTGTTTTTGATAGCGATTGGAACAAGCCTATTACAAAGTTACGTCTGAAGGGGCCGAAGTTGTGTTCGGCGAAAGGTATAGTCTATATTTTTGTTCAGACAATTGCGTAATTTGATAATACACGAACTCGCTTGACTTTCAAAGCTCATAAATGGGTGCATTCCATGCACGTTTTGTGGAAGATCTTCGGCGTGAGTTTTGGATTGCTGGCGCACAATCACGTCGAGGTTGGCGCACAAGTTTCGAGTTTTGGTGGTTGGCGCAGCATCAAATGTTCAAGCGAGACTTTCAGTAATAAATATAATCCCTTGGTGATTGGATTGGCCTTTATAATTCTTTAGGGAGTCGAGAAATTTGTGTGCCTGGTTGTAGTAGTAGCTAAATGGTGGTTATAAATGGCTAAATATTTAAAATATATTGAAAGTTCTATTCAGTGTCAGTTCAGTGTCACTTTTGAGATCAGTGCCGAAAATCGGTTTAATTTATACTTGGGTTACCAGTAAACCAAAAAAGGGCGCGAAATTGGCGAAAACTAAATACTAAAATACAGCATTTCATTGACTTCAAAAACAGCAAAAACGTTACTTAATACGGAAAAGAAGAAGCTATAATAGCATTGTGATTACAGTAAATAACAGCAAAGTGGGGTAAGTCACATACGAATCACAAGAGCTTACTTTATTCCTTAATTAATCATGATTTAATAATTCATAATTGCAAAAAGTTGGGAAAAGTGAAAAACTAAATGCCTTCGCGCCTTCACTTCAGCCTCGAAATATGTATAATGTTTTTGTTAAATTGCTCAACTATAGAGTTGGAGTATAATAACGTAACAGAGTGAAAATTCCGTAATAGCTCATAACTGAAAAAATCCTTGTGGTTTCAGTTGCTGAAAGTAATTTAGTATAGTTTTCGGTTTACAAATACGACAACATAGATAGCTAGTCAGCTAGATAGATTTGAGAGCAAACATGAATCAACTCAATTATATGAGATGAGCTTCTGGGGTGAATCGATGGGCTATATCCAACGCAAACGAACGGATTGCATAAGGTTACAACGGCCAATTATTTTAGCTGCCACCACTTAATATTTAAGTTTTTGTTTTTTTTAAACTTATGCACTTATGTTTCCTATGGCTATGCATTTCATCAATTTACCGACATTAGATTAATTGCACTTCTTCGCTATGTACTACATCTCTTTGTATATTAAGACATTCTGGTTTAACAGTTTTTAGCCATGGTCTGGCATGGAACATTTTTGTGCTGTTTGTTCGCAAGTGGTAGGCAATGCACATACGTGCAGCACAATCATGTAACACGTTTGTGCACATCATTTGTGGTATCCCAGAAGGAGAAGAAAGCTTTGGTCAAAAAGTGAAATGCAACAACTGCATACAAAAGGGTATGGTGCCAAGATCAATTCTATAGTGTTTTACATTTAAGAAATATAAAACATTTTCCGTGTTGATACATAGTTACATCAACACAAGTGGAAATTGGGAAAACGAGAAATTGTGTGGAAACACGATGCCCGTAGGGCGGAGTGTTTTCGCACAATTTCGAGTTTTTCTAATTTCCAGGAGTGTTGATATAACTGCATATCAATATGGAAAAAAATATATATTTTTTTATAATATAACACAAAGAAATACAAAGTACAACATTAAAATAACGGCGGGAAATTTTCCGTGCTGTCAACACTGCTGACCACCAATCAGCGTTCAGAATTTACAAATGCAATATTATAATAATGTATTTATCACGGACACAGGTTCACACTATTATTAGTCAGACTACATCTTGTATTCACAGTGGCTACAATTGACAGAGATCAACAATCACATGTGCCGAAAATAGCTAAACCGTCATGAAAGAGAAAGTTAAGTTGGGATTGGAAGGAGAGCAACCCATCCCAGAGAAACTCAAGAAAATCAACGAAAATTATGTTTGCCTAGAATGTTTTGAGAGGTCGTTGGAGGGAAAGTGTGAAGAGAAAAATGCAAGTATTTGCAGAACAAATACATCTACCATCGACCGGCACAAAAGCAGATGGCACAGCACTGCCAATAATCAGTCATGTACTGTAGTTCCGTCTAGTGCACCCGATGTCCGACAGTTGTATGCAAAATATGGTAAAGTTAAAAAAGTCCATGCAGAAGATCCAAAAGATAAAAGTAGACCTCAAGCGACCAATGCTCCCACAAGTTCTTGTCAGTCAACCAGCCAAAAAACGTTGCTGTCCTTCTGTCGCTTGAAAACCAATAGAGATTCAAGTCAACCAACTAACCAAGGAATTAATAACAATTTCAAGGAAGTGACAGCGGTGACTAAACCCAGCAGAGATTCATCCGAATCAAGTGACCAAGGATTCCAAGGAATTAACTCAAGTTCTGAGGATGTGACGAAAACCAACAGATTAATTCGATCAAGTCGCCAAGGAAATATCGACGACGTAATGAAAGCCATATCTAACTTGTCTATAAAGGTTGAAAATTTTGGTAAACGACACTCTAGCTTGGAACAACTCGTGACAGAAGATAACGAAGTCCTGAAATCTCTAGCGGCAATGCGAACGGCGAGTAATATTCATCAGTTGGCCGAGGCATCCAAATACCTGGAATTTTTTTATAATGAGGAATCGAACACTGGAATGTTGCGTTGCAACCCTTGCTTTAAGATGCAGGTTACAGCCAGGCCTACCCTTAACAACCTATCCCCGTTTCAAGCCCAAAGAATTATTAATTCTTGTGCAAGTGGAACACTCGGCACCGGAAAAATCTTCAGCAAGGATGTCACTCAACTTCTGGTAGAGGGACATAACAATAGCTGGTATAGGCAGAAGAAGTTGTGTATTGACCACATGTGTTTACTGGGTGATGGTAACAAATTACACAAGAAGGCTATGGAAGCTTCCAGGAAAGAAGAGGAAAGGGATAAAAGAAGATCAACCGCGGCAAGCAACATATTTCGAGCAGCCATTGTTGATTTGAAGCTAGGCGCAGCAGCCACACATTTCGAGACTATGATCTCCTTCTTGTCATGTTGCTCAGTCGATGTCGGAAATATTGGACATGGTCGAAATAATTTCAACGATATTCTTTCCTGCTTGGAGAAATCAGTTAACCGAAGAATCGATGCGTGGCTAAACGAGCCTCTACCTTCAACGTTATTGCCACCACATTTCTGGGCCACAATCGATAAAGCCACACCATCACGTACGACAAATCAAGCTGTCCTTGTTGTAGCTCGGAACGAAGCTGGCATTCCCTGTCCAATTCCTGTTGCTGCTCCGCAAGTCTATAAAGAGTTCGCGCCAGCTACGTATGACGCTATGGCAGAACTTTTGGTAAAATCAATTAAGGATAACTTTTCAAAAGATGTTCTCTCAAGGCTTTGTGGCGTAGCGGCCGACGGTCCGTACCAAGCAGCAGGATTCCGCAAAAGACTTTTACAAGAACTGGGAATCGAAGACTCCGACAATGGTCAACTTTCATTTCCTGTGACGTGGGATGCAGCTCATCTACTAAATCTTGGAGTGGTCGAGGTAAAGGACCAAAGTCCAAGTAGTGATCACTTTAAAACATTCTTGAGGAGATGTAATATTTTTAACACCGTTCTTGCGAATGGAAAGGGCTTTGCTTTTCTGCAACTCCTTGACAAGGACGCAAGAAGACCAGTTGCTTATGCTACCCAAAGATTTGCCAGTTCATCGTACGACCAGTGGCTTAAAATTGAAAAGAGCTACAGCGCTTTGTGGAAAGCGTTCGATATATTGTATCCAAATCGACCAGAAGATGATCAGTACCAGTACATGATTGCTGGGTCAGATTTTATTGCTGACTTGTTGTCATTCCTCGACATATTGGAGCCAATTGTTGATTTGATGTTAAGAGTCCAGTCGCTTGACGTGCCCATTTGGAAGCTTAAACTTTGGTGGCCCAAAGTTAAAGCTAAACTAGAAAAGGCTGCAAACGGCGATGAAAACTCCTTTCCGCGACTGCAACAATTTGGAGAAGAGATCGTCCCTGGTGATCATTACCAAGGTGTTGAACTTCTTGATGGGTGGTTGGTGACTAATCAAGGTGGTGATGAAAGACAAAGAGGAATACTCAATTGGACACTTCGAGAAGCGATGGAAATTGAAGAAGATCGCCTACGACTAGCAGCTGATCTAATGAACGCTCTTGATAGAAGGGTTCAGGCTATTCTTCACGATCGCTGTTTGTCTACACTCCAAGCGTTCGATGCTTCCGCCCTTGTAGCTCTACACTGTGGTACTTGTGAAGACAATATCTTGCAAATTTATGGCTGTGTCGGATGGAGAATACGAAATGTATGGCGTGGAAGAATGTCAAGCGGTATTGGCTGTTGTTTCAAAAATGGCCCATGTTATCAAATCAGGGATGGATTTTGATCCGCGTTTGGCGTTTCGATTTATGGAAACGATAAAGAAAGCTGTCAAGATTGGTATATGGGATGCACTGTGTTTATATTGGTTTGTACTTGCTGAAGGCACTACCGCATTACCAATGAACACCAAGCTGACATCCTTTGAGGCTGTCGAAACAGAAACACTTGACACATTGTTCAAATTGAGATTCGCAAGTGGGAAAGAGTTCACTGTTCGCTTGCAAGAGCAAAGGTTTTACAGATCGTTTTATTCCAACAAAGATATCTACAACGTTGCAACGCCGTCATCTTGTGCTCTTCTAGATATAGTACTGTCAAAAGGACGGCCAGAAGCAATTGCCGAGAGTTTCTACAATTCCATGAGAGCACAGCAACAGTCTGGTGGCCAATCAAATGAAAACCTGGCAAGGAGAACCAAGCTCAACTGGTGTTTGCCTCCATTGAAGAAATGTGACGGTATCAGAGAAGGCATCAGCTTGTACTTCACAGGAGATGGTCCAGACGGTGTGTTGAAACCTCACCGGAGGCATTATGTGCACTCCAGCCGTGCTAATGAGTATTCGGTATCCAAAGTTGTCGATCGATTGGATGCAGAGTTGGGTCGTTGCCCTTTCCTGGCTAATGAATAAACGTCTACTGAGGAGTTTAATGTGTTACCTAATTAAGTGTGTACAGTAACTTGCGATTGAATGCCTTTGAGAGTAAAAATGAACTTTGAGATTGAAGTATGTTGAACAATTACTAGAAATTCATATATAAATAACTAAATTTAAGATATTACTCTATGAACACAACTAAGTACAATGCTGTAAGTCTAAGATGCAGATTTTCAGCATGCAGCGCCATGAATATATTTATATAAAAGTATCTTAGTCAGTTATGTCAGACAGTGTCTGTATATCTTCCTAATTGTTTATTGTTTGACTTGTGTAATTTCTCTATGCTTATGGATGATTACAAAGAAGAGCTGACATCATAGTTGATGACGTGCTTTAACGTGTACAGTTACTATACTACAGTCCATATGTTTCATTTGATATTTTATTACCTTTCCCCAAAGAGGCTTTCAAAGATAATTACATTACATGAATTAATATATACATTGTATATGCAGATAAATACTTGCAGAACTAGCTAGTATTGTTCGATGCTGAATAAATATAAACGAGTATGTTTATGACATTCAGTCGTAGTTCATAGGCCATGGTAGAGCATCGTAATTCGAAGGTCGCGTGTTCCAAACCCAGCTGCGGCAGGCATCTTTTTGCTTGCGCACGGTCTGGTAATTATGAAATACTCATTCGAGAGTCGAGAACATTTATTAATTTACCCATATTTATATATATATATATATATAGCTACATACATACACACACATACATGCATATATATTTACGATAACTATAAATGTTAAAAGTAATGATTGATGAACTATTATTATACATATAAAATAACTAATGTATGTGTATTATAGATAAACTACTTCTTCAAAAATTCTTTCGTTAACTTTTGTTTCAAGAGACGAGTGAACGAGTGAACTGACACACAATAAGTTTCAAACAAGTGTCCAAAGCGTTCCGTATTCTAACAATGTTGTAATAAAAAGTTTGTTGTCCAGTGGCCGTTTTGAATAGCGGACGAAAGGTACAGTAACTTGTGATACAACAATTTTGACTTTTGTACATGTAAGGTACAGTAACTTGTGATACAACAGTAACAACTGACTCATTATTGCTCATCAGCAAAACATTTTTTCCATCAGTTACAAGCCTTTTTAGTAAGTTTAATGTTTAACCAACTAATGAAAAAATCAAGGTGCCCACGATGACTAGGGCCGGCGCACAACTTCACCTCACTTGGCGCATGGCAACACTTGCCTCTGATAATCTTCGGCGTGAGGTTTACACGGAATGCACCCTGGCATTTAATAGGTTTTTTTTGGTATACTGGTCAGGGCCTTTTTTAAGAATTTTCCCATGTGGGGAGGGGGGGATTTTTTGAAAAGGGACCTTTCTGTGAGATAATATATTAGAGGTGGATTTGAAATTTGAAGCCCTGAAATGCCATTTCCTGCATTGTGAGATTTAAATTTGCTCTAAGTATACTTGTATTTGAAATAAAAGAAGGAAAAAACGCACAAAAAAAAAATTATTAACAATAATTTATCATTACTTAGTGTCAGGTAGACAAACGTAACAATTTAAATCGATTTTGTTAAACAAGGACAAAGAATAAAGCCTAAAACTTACTTTTTGTTTATCAATTTATTTTTCGCTGGTTTGTTTGTATAAATTTAGGAAAAAGGGACTTTCCCTGGGGGGACTTTTCCTGGGGGAGGGTTTGTCACGGCAAAAACCGAGGAGTGAAATATTTTCTAAACAAAAAAATCTGCGCAAAACGTTTTAAAAACGTAGCTTAACAATAGTCAGAAGAATACGAAAATGAATTGCATCAAGTCCTAAAGACTTCATACTAAGCACAATGTACACCAGAATTGACAATATTTTGAGAGAAATGCAACACAATGTACACCAGAATTGACAATATTTTGAGAGAAATGCAACTGAAAGTCAGAAAGTTATTTGACATGTATAAAACTTACGCTGAGAAAACTATATATTTTTAAAAATACACAACTGCACTGATCTCAAATTAGTTTGCAACCAACACTGGAATTTTAATGAATTTAATTTTCACATCTGATAAAAAATAAACATATTTAACAGCAGCATCTGTCCGGATGAGAAAAACTTTGCCCAAGGTCTTGAAAACGGGCCAAATGGCGAGGGACGTTTTCAAGACCAAGGGCATATATATCCTTTTATAATATATATTTCATATATATCCTTTTCCATGAAATAACCATGCTTGTACATTTAGACGGGTTCATGGTAGCAAGCCACCTGCTTGACCCAGTCATAAATCCTGAAGGCACACACAAAGTACCAGATCATCAACAATTTTCAAAAGTGTTGAATCGTCTGTATAGATGAACGGCAAAGTGGAGAGATTTTCAGTCAAATCATTAATGTAAATAAGAAAAGTAATGGACCAAGCACTGACCCCTGCAGAATACCGGAGTCAATGCTCTAACAACCTGATGAACCACCCTCTAAAAGTACTTGTTTCCTATTACCTAAATAACTTCTTAACCAGTTCAATAAGGGGTTATGCATGAGTCAATTCCTGGAGTAACCATCCCCCCCCCCCCGGGACACCCCCGGGAATTTGGCCGATAGACAGTTCACAGGGGTCGGGAATTTGCCTTTCATATATGTGCACGGCGGCTGGGTATTGGAGGACCCTGGGGATTTGACAAATGGTTGCCCAGAATCCCACCCACAAATTTTAAGGCAGCAAAACATAGTTTCAGACAAGCATGTGGGTGCGCTGATCGTATTTTGTGCCCTTGTGGTCAAGGTGGCGTGAAATTTATTGTAAGAAAATTATACCCTGTGCCATGCAAATTTAAATACAACTATTAAAGGTTTATGTTTTATAATATTGCATAGCAGTTTAATACTTATAATGTTATTAAATGACTATGATTATATGCCATTAAAAGTTTAATTAACGTTTACAGTCGATTTCACGAAACTTTGACCACAAAATTTCCGAACTTCGTTGCGAAGTTCACAAGATTGTTGCGAAGTTCAAAAGTTCATAATGAGATTCACAAACCAGTTTGTAAACTACGCATTTGATTGGCTTCTTTTACTTCACGGACCAATCAGGGACTTTGTTTACAAATTGGCTTGTGAATTCAAATATGAGCTTCCGAACTTCGCAATGAAGTTCGGAACATTTGTGGTCAAAGTTTTGTGAAATCGACTGTAAAATCGTCCCCGGGGTGGGGCATTTTCCACTCTCAGCTTGCCCAGGGGCCGTGCATTAGTCTTCAAGTTGTGTCCCGGCACCCGGGCATTTACACTATCCTAACCAATCAAATCAAATTCCCGGGTGTGTTCCGGGGGGGGGGGGGATGGTTACTCCTGGAATTGACTCATGCATTACAAACACCTAGTGATTCAAGTTTACATGTCAATCCATCATGTCATACCTTGTCGAAAGCTTTACTTATATCCAAAAACACTAACCTCACCTCTTTGCCAGTATCAAGAGCTAAATAAACCTGATGAACAAGATATGCCAACTGATTAACAGTGGAGTCGCCTGGTCTGAAACTATACTCAAATTTATACAAATATCCAGAATCATACAAACGAATAAACACATTTAGATAAACAAGATAAAAGAGACACCAGACGATAATTAATTTTGTTACTTATTATCTTTTTTATAAATAGGAATAACATTTGCTAATTTCCACTGACTAGGAACTGACCCAATCGCAAAGATAAATTAATAAAAGTGGTAAGACCTGGGCAAAATGCATAAGAACAAAATTGAATTATTTATTTCTTATACCATCATGGCCACAGGCCTTCGATGTATCAACATTTTTCATTAACCCAAGTACTTCATTGGTTGTTAATATATTTGAAAGTGAGCACACTGTTTGATAAGATGGAAGTTTGAATTGGCAAACAAAATAATCATTAAATATCTCTGCTTTTTCAAGAGGATCAATAACAGTAACATCATTCTCCACTAAAGCTGGAATTGAATTGTCGTAGAGCCATAAATGTTAGCATAAATGATAGAATGATTGCAATTTGACGGAGGGCTTAAAGTTCCAGTTTGAGTGAATAAGCTTGGCATATTGGTAATAAAAAGATCTAGAATACTATATCTATTCTGTACAACCCTAGTTGGCTCAGTAATTAATTGAGTAATACCATTTGCTACAAAAAAGTATTTAGTTTTATTCCCCTATAAGCAGAATCAGCTAGGCAAGCAGGTTTAAAATGGGCATTAAAGTCACATAATATGACAACTGTATATTGTTTTGGGATTTGATTTATCGTATCCAAAATTGTTTTAAAATTTTCAAGGAAACGTATTTGTGAGCTAGCATCATTTCAGGGGATCTATAAGAAACGCCACAAAGAAAATCATGTTCATTAATACGAAACTCAACCATAAAAATTCAAAAGCGTCTATTTCTAAGTCCATTCTTCACTTAATGATTAAGAAGTGTATTGCATAAAGGCAATGCCTCCACCTCTATTTCTCCTGTCAAGCCTAATAATTAGGTTATAACCAGGAACTTGAAAACTGTCGCTAGAGATGTTCTGATTAGTCCAGGTTTCCATTAAAGCAAATATTTTGAAATCATGAAAGGTGACCAAGTGACATTTCATCAAATTTATTGCTTGTATTCATACTCCTAGCATTAAGATTTCAGAAACTAAGAAAATGCGAGGGGCCAGGATTAATTGCAATGGCATTAGACAAGATACGTTTTATGCAAATAAAGTAAATCAAAACAAAGAAAACATCTAACAAAACAATAGGTGATTTGCAAGGACATTTAAAACACAAGATAGTAAATTTTGTGGAATTAAAAAGTCCTATTGCCAACCCTATATGCTTCAAGGCTAACCCCATGACTCCAAAATTTGCCTCATGCTGTACAGACAAAAAAATGTCATTGACAAACAAGTAAGGAATTAAGGGTTCCAGCAAACAGGCATCTTTCAGTTTATCTTTCGAAATCATTAATCAA